CCATTCCCTAGTTGGTATCCGTAACCACTCTTGGTGATGATCTGGCTGAGGGGGTTCAGGCCTATGCAGAACAGCAGCAGGGACAGAGCATCTCCTTGGTAGATACCGCACTTGATGTTGACTTGTGCAATTGGCTTGAAGTTGGCCTCTAGGGTTGTTTTCCACATTCCCATTGAGTTCTTGATGAAGGCTCTTAAAGTCTTGTTGATGTTGTATAGTTCCAAGCATTCCAGGCTCCATGTGTGAGGCATTGAGTCCTAGGCTTTCTTGTAGTCAATCCAGGCAGTGCACAGGTTGGTATGCCTAGCCTTGCAGTCTTGAGTGACTGCTTTATCAACCAGTAGCTGGTGCTTTGCTCCTCTGGTGTTACTACCAATTCCTTTCTGGGCGCTGCTCATGTATTGAGCCATGTGCCTGCTCATCTTAGCTGCTATGATGCCTGACAGGAGCTTCCATGTTGTGCAAAGGCAAGTTATTGGGCGGTAGGTGGATGGTACTGCTCCCTTCTCAGGGTCCTTCAGGATCAGGACTGTCCGGCCATCAGTTAACCACTCAGTGTGGGTTCCATCTATTAGTAGTTGGTTCGTTTGTCCCGCCAGGCGCTCATGGGAGTGAAGAGTGAAGTTAGCTTCTTTAACCAGTAGGCGTGGATCATGTCAGGGCCTGGTGCTGTCCAGTTCTTCATACTTGAGACCCACTCTTGAATGTCTGCCATTGTGATGATTACTGGGTCTTGTGCAGGGAGGTTGCTGTGGTCTGCGTCCACCAGCCACTGGGCATTGTTGTTGTGTGATTCCTCCTTCTCCCATGTGCTCTTCCAGAACTGTTCAGTCTCCAGCCTTGGTGAGTCTGCTCTGACCTGCCACTGAGAGTACACCTTGGGTGGCTCAGTGGAGAACATTCGGTTTATTCTCCTGGCTTCCACTTCTCTGGTGTACCTTTTAAAAACCAATTCTGTTCATTTCTACTGATGCATCACTTCCTGATTTCCCAAACTACTAGGCAGGCCAAGGGTCATAATCTAAAGCTGTCTGCGTTATTTGCTCTTCAAAAAATATGTAGCGTTAAAAGGAATTGACATTAACTCATTATTATCGTTATATATAAGCCAGGACAAGTCTCTTCTTTCAAGTCTACGTGCACTACGTGTTCACTTCTTATCTTTTGTCCTTTAGACACAAGTCTGATGACATCTTAACCATGATAAATTCACTTGGCATTACAAAAATGACATTTTCAGACCTGGTTCACTTACTGTGTTTTTCTGTGTGGTCTTTTGTATCTTAGATTCAGTGAAATTAACTATTCTTTCTTAATTTGTGATCACATAGTTAATTTTGTATATGGCTATATAAAGGGTGGTTCATTTTACCAACTGGCAGGACTTATTCCATTCTCCCCTATTGTTAAGTAGCTAGTTTATTAGCTCAACTAGGTTGTTACAGTGGATACTTGGGGTCAATCTACATAACAGTATTAAATATTATAAAACAGGTTCTAGCAGGTTGAGTTCAGGGCTGCTGGTTAAATCTTTTGTTAACACTTGTTTTGTTTCCAAATTTGTCTCTTTTTTCCTCCTGTCTTTCTTTCTTTCTTTTTGGTAACCTTACTACAGTTTTTGAAAGACATGATTAACAATAA